TTTTGTCAATCAAAAACAAACTTAAGAAAGGATTTCTATACTGAAAACAACAAAACATTGCTGAAAGAAATTTAAGAACACCTAACTAAATGGAAAGAGATCTGTGTTCATGGGTAGGAAGACTTAATGTTGTTAAGATATTAATATTACCCAAAGAGATGTATAGTCAATACAATCCCTATCAGAATCCCAGTTGATTGTTTTTTCTTGCAGAAATGGAAAGGCAGATCCTTAAATTCCAATGGAATTGCATGGGACCTCAGCCCCATCTTGATAAAGTATAACAAAGTTGGAGAACGAACCAATTTCTTTCTTCATTTTCTTTTTTTTTTTTTGAGACGGAGTTTTGGTCTTGTTTCCCAGCCTGGAGTGCAATGGTGCAAACTTGGCTCACTGCTTCCCGGGTTCAAGCGATTCTTCTGCCTCAGCCTCCAGAGTAGCTGGGTTTACAGGCACCTGCCACCACGCCTAGCTAATTTTTGTATTTTTAGTAGAAACGGTTTTGCCATGTTGGCCAGGCTGGTCTCGAACTCCTGACCTCAGGTGATCCTTCTATCTTGGCCTCCCAAAGTGCTAGAATTATAGGTGTGAGCCACCACACCCAGCCAGAACAAACCCATTTTCAAAACTCAGTGCAAAGTCATAGTAATCAAAACAGTGTGTACTGGCATAAGGACAAATAGACCAATAGGATAGAATTGCAAGTCTAGAAATAAATCTATACATTTATAACCAATTGTTTTTCAATAAGAATGCCAAATCCATTAAATGGGGAAAAACAGTTTCTCCAACAAAGAGTCTGGGGCAACTGGATTTCTATGTGCAAAAGAATGAATTTGGATACCCAGCTCACCCCATATTCAAGAATTAACTCAAAATGGATTGATGACCTAAATATAAGAACTAAAACTATATGCAGAGAGGTACCTTGCAAGGAAAGAAAAAAGAGAAATTAAAAAAAAAAAAAAGAACTAAAACTATAAAATATAAAACCCTGAGAAGAAAACAGAGAGTTGTATCTTTATGACCTTGCAATCGGCAATGAATTCTTAGCTATGACATCAAAACACAAGCAACAAAAGAAAAGTAAATGGAACTTCATCAAAATTAATACTTTTGCGCATCAAAGGACATTATCAAGAATGTGCAAAGCACCTACAGAATGGGAGAAGACATTTGCGAATTTTGTAAGGGTTTGATATCTTAAAATACATAAAGAACTCCTAAAACTGAACAACAAAAAGCCCAGTTAAAAGGGGCAAACCACTTGAACAGATATTTGTCCAGAAAAAGATATGCAAGTGGCCAGCGAAGCCATGAAAAGTTGCTCAGCATCATTAGGCCTTAGGGAAATGCAAATTAAAGCCACAGTGAGATATCTATCTATCTATTTATTTATTTATTTTGAGTCAAAATCTTGCTTCGTTGCCCAGGCTAGAGTGCAGTGGTGCAATCTCAGCTCACCGCAACCTCTGCCTCCCACGTTCAAACATTCTCCTGCCTCAGCCTCCTGAGTAGATGGAACTACAGGCATGCATCACTGTGCCTGGCTGATTTTTTGTATTTTCAGTAGAGACAGGATTTCACTATGTTGGCCAGGCTGGTCTTGAACACCTGACCTCAGGTGATCCATCCTCCTCAGCCTCCCAAAGTGCTGGTATTACAGGTGTGAGCCACCATACCTGGCCCAAATACCACTTTATACTCATGATAATTATCTTTTTTTTTGAGAGAGAGAGAGTCTCACCCTGTTACCAGGCTGGAGTGCAGTGGCGCAATTTTGGCTCACTGTAACCTCCACCTCCCAGGTTCAGGCGATTTTCCTGCCTCAGCCTCCCGAGTAGCTGGGACTACAGGCATGTGCCACCACGTCTAGCTAATTTTTGTATTTTTAGTAGAGACCATTTCACCATGTTGGCCAGAATGGTCTTGATCTTTTGACCCCGTGATCCACCTGCCTCAGCCTCCCAAAATGCTAAGATTACAGATGTGAGCCACCACGCCCGGCCAGATGGTTATAATTTTTTTTTTTTTAATGAAAGTAAAGGGCCAGGCGCGGCGGCTCATGCCTGTAATCCCAGCACTTTGGGAGGCCGAGGCGGGTGGATCACGAGGTCAAGAGATTGAGACTATCCTGGTCAACATAGTGAAACCCCGTCTCTACTAAAAATACAAAAATTAGCTGGGTATGGTGGCGTGTGCCTGTAATCCCAGCTACTCAGGAGGCTGAGGCAGGAGAATTGCCTGAACCTGGGAGGCGGAGGTTGTGGTGAGCCAAGATCGTGCCACTGTACTCCAGCCTGGGTAACAAGAGCAAAACTCCATCTCAAAAAAAAAAAAAAAAGAAGAAGAAAGAAAGTAAAATGGTGATGTTGTGGAGAAATTGGAACCCCTTTATATTACTAGTGGAGATGTAAAATGGTGTTTGGCGTTCAAAGCATGATGTAGGCTGAAAAGGAGTTTAGCAGTTCCTTAAAAAGTTAAGCATAGAATTGTCATACGACTCAGCAATTCCACTCCTAGGTATAGACCCAAAAGATCTGAAAACAGATGCTTATATGCCATTGCTCATTGCAGCATTATTCACAGCAGCCGAAAGGTGGAAACAACCATGTCATCATCAATAGAAAACAAAATGTGGTCTATCCATTCTGTGCAATCTGAATTCCATCAAAAACAATAAAGTTCTGATACTTGCTACACCTGATGAACCTTGAAAACATACTAAGTTGGGGGCCGGGCACGGTGGCTCATGCCTGTAATCCCAGCACTTTGGGAGGCCGAGGCAGGTGGATCACGAGGTCAAGACATCCAGACCATCCTGGTCAACATGGTGAAACCCCGTCTCTACTAAAAATACAAAAAATTAGCTGGGCATGTTGGCACATGCCTGTAACCCCAGCTACTCAGGAGGCTGAGACAGGAGAATTGCCTGAACCCAGGAAGCGGAGGTTGCGGTGAGCTGAGATCGCGCCATTGCACTCCAGCCTGGGTAACAAGAGCGAAACACCGTCTCAAAAAAAAAAAGAGGAAGATGTAGGATCTAAGAAGCAGAACACCAAGGAAAGAGACGAAGGGGATTTCCAGGCCAGGTGCGGTGGCTCAAGCCTGTATTCCCAGCACTTTGGGAGGCCGAGGTGGGTGGATCACTTGAGGCAAGGGATTTGAGACCAGCCTAGCCAACATTGCAAAACGCGTCTCTACTAAAAATACAAAAAAAATTAACCGAGTGTGGTGGCATATGCCTGTAATCCCAGCTACTTGGGAGGCTGAAGCAGAAGAATCATTTGAAACCAGGAGTCGGAAGCTGCAGTGAGCCAAGGTTGTGCTGCTGCACTCCAGCCTGGGTGACAGAGAGACTCTTGTTTCAAATGAAAAAAAAAGTGGGAGTGGGGGGTGGGTTTCCAGAGTGATGGGAAAGGAAAGGTCAGTTTCATCTCTGGACAGCTGTCTAGGTGAGAGCAGGAGGATGAAAGGCTACACGAGAAATGGAAAAAAACAAACAAACTGAAACTGATATATTAATGTATCAAGAGGATATTTTAGGTCTATCAGAGAGTTATATACATATAATTATATATAATTCTCTAATAATTATATATATTGAATATGTTCAGTTTCTAAAACCATCAAATGAAGCAACCATAAATTCAAGAAAACTCGAAGTATGTGTTTGGATGGGGGTAATCTTAAGTATTCGTGTTCCATAGGAAGAAAGAAACCACTTGAAAATGTTTTGAGCTGAGAGATGAAAGAATAGAAGTATAAGCATACTATTTAGATGCGTGGAGGTAAATACCAATGAAAGTAGCTTAAAAAAGTGAGGGATGGGGCAAAGAACTTATCTTTTTTATTATTTGATTTTGCATTTTGTGCAATTATCACTCTCTAAAAATGTTTCCAAAAGCAAACTGGGGCCCACATCTGCCCTATGGATGAGCTCTGTGCCCAAGGGTCTTTCTCCCAGCCCACGTGGGTAACAGATTTTTCTCTAGTGGCCCTGTGTCTGTTATTCCCTTTGCCTATGGGTGAATTAGCAGGTGGGGGTTGGGTGGGAATAGGGCTGGAGCCAGACTAAGGACAGAAAAGTGGGCTGAGGAATGTCAGAGCGAAGGGAATATTTCTGGAGGTAGATTTCCATTGGTTCAGTCTCTTGCTTTTCCCTTATACCTGAGAACATGGCTTTGACCTTCATACCCAAACAACAAAATCCACCCAGGAAGGGTTGGAGGGGAAAGAAAGAAGAGAGGAAGATGGGAATATCTGCAGTGGCCCATCTGCACATATATGCATGAGTGACCTTGGCTGTTTCTTGTGGTATCATTGAGGGGGAAGGGCAAGTTCAGCACTGCTCTAGCCATGTTGGTTGGCACAACTTGGTACAGTAATTTGGTAGACAGTTCAGAATTAACCGAGCACTCCCCCTTAGAGGAGTTTACCTGTCAGAATACTATCAGAAGGCCACAGGATATTAAAGCCAAGATGTTCTCTGCAGCCTTGTTGGAAATATTGTGAAACTGCTAACAGCCTAAATGTCCCTCAGAAGAAACTTGAATAGGGAATAGAGGTAGTGAAAACCCCATGCTATGAAGTGTGGTGCAGCTGCTTAAAAGATGTATAAAAGGCCAGGTGCAGTGGCTCACACCTATAATCCCAGCACTTTGGGAGGCTAAGATGGGTAGATCACGAGGTCAAGAGATCAAGACCATTCTGGTCAACATGGTGAAACCCCGTCTCTACTAAAAATATAAAAATTAGCTGGGCATGGTGGCACACGCCTGTAGTCCGAGCCACTCAGGAGGCTGAGGCAGGAGAATTGCTTGAACCCAGGAGGTGGAGGTTGCAGTGAGCCGAGATTGTGCCATTGCACTCCAGCCTGGGTAACAAGAGCAAAACTCTGTCTCAAAAAAAAAAAAAAAAAAAAGATGTATACAAGAAAAAAAGTGAATTACTGATGGCCCACTTTCTGGAGAAAAAAATGGGTGCAGTTACATAGATTAAGACATAGACAAAAGTCTGCAAGGATTGTCACCCTTTAGTTAACAGCAGGTACCTCTGGAAATGAGACTGAACATGGGATGGAGGGAAAACTTTCCCTTTTTATTTGAAATTCTTCTGATAAGTGGGAATTTTTTGATACACTTTATGCAATCAATACCATTACGTGGGATGTTTGGGGGGTTTTTAACCAGCTCTGGGAGAGCCAGGGAGAGGGAGCTTGGTGGCGAAGCAGCAGCAGGAGCTCTGGAAAGGGGCAGAACCTTGTGTGCTGCGCTGATTTGCTCTATGCGCTTAGACCAGCTGCTTCCCCTATCTGGACCAGGGCCAGAGAGTGCTGCCATGTGTGTGTGGAGGTGGGGTGTGTGACCATGCAGGGCTCCTCCAGAGCACAGCAGAGCAGCCAGTGTTTGAGGCACTAGCATTACTGGAAAGTTGTTGACATTTTAATGAAAGGCAATGGAGGAAGCAGTGTGAGTCAGCCTGCTGAGGAGGGGTCACGGGGCAGTTTTCCTTACCTGTACAGGGGTCCAGGCCCTGCCTGTGCTTTGAGTTAGAACCCAGGGCCTGGGAAGCTTTGGGACAACCATGAGAAAACCTTCCCTTTTCTCCAGGGTGAACTAAGCTCTGGTTCCTGAGCCTCAAATCTCGGAAGGGCAGAGTGGGGCATAGGTTTCAACTCAGCTGTGATTCTCCCAGGGTGGTGCCAGGGCAGTGCTAGGGCGGGTAAGCCCTGGGTGGCAGTCTTTGGCTCAACACAAGAGAGTGCCAGAGGCTGGCCCAGCCCCGGAAGTTTCCATGAAAGGGCTGAGCACAGAGGCTGGTGGCCCCCATTAGGGAAGGGGTGAAGGAGAGGGTTGTGTGAGACCAGCCTTTCAGTTGCCACTTCACCAGATTCCAAGCAAAAGAGAAGACGACTCAGTGGAGGGAATGGGGAAGGCTGTGTAGGAGTCAGCATTTAATCTGGACCTTGAGAGTGTGCGGCAGTCCCAGTGTTGAAAGGGACTTCGGAGACCCACCCTCCAGCAGTACACACCATCCATCACCAAATCACATGAGGCTCAGGGAGCTGAAGTTAGTTGCCCATGGTCACATAATTTAAGTTGTGCTTTTAAAAATGCAGAAAGTCCCCCAGCCAGGGCCTGTCCAGGAGCCAGTGGGTGCAGCCAGCTTGGTAATTCAGTCCAGTGGTTAATTAGTAACTTGAAGGCCCCAAAGCCGGCTTCAGGCAGGCAGGGCTGGGAGGTTGAACTTGAGCCAGTTTGGGAACCAGGAGAGAGTGGGTGACAGGTCGCTCCCGACTGGGAAGGTTGCTGGGCAAGTCAGGATTGTGCCTCCTCTCAGAAGGACAATGTAGAGAGAGAAGAGGGCAGAGCCGTGCATGGGGCTGCTCCCCAGGACCTGAGCTGGAACCTGGAGTTTTCAGGTGAGAGGTTCACCTGTGATAAGGATACCTGCTTGCTGGCATGTTGGTCTCCAAATTGACTATTATCTAGCTAACATCCTTCCTAGTATCTTTTTTACTTTCTTTCCTTTCTTCCTTCCCAACTTCTTTCCCCTCTCCCTCCTTTCTTTCCTTCCTTCCCTCCCAACTAACTCTCTGCTTTTTCAGCTGCCTAATTTTCTTCCGCCTTAACTAACCAACTTACATTTTCAGTTCCTTTCGACTAACTTCATTTTTTCCTTTTCTAGCTTTCTAATGTCTTCCTGAAATTCCAGGCCATGGGCTCTGCAGTCTGATGGCCTGGGTTCAAATCCTGATTATATCATTTATTAACTGTCTTGATCATGTCACGTCCCTCTCCTTGCCTCGGTTTTATCCTCCTTAACACAGGGATGATGATAGTTCCTAACCCATGAGGTTGCGGGAACAAAATAATATCAAGCTGGCACTTGAACTGGGCAGGTGTGTAAATGAACAAGTTACAGTGAAGACAGAGACAGCAGCAGGTGCATGGGATCCGGGGGAGGGCTGCCTTCTAGGAAGGGCAATGAGAACAGATGAAAAGGTGAGCTGGAAAGACCAGGTTTGTTAGGGAATGTTCCAAGGAGAGAGAACTATGTGACACTGCCACCCCTCACCCCATTTGTCAGGGCCAGGGAGCTGTAAGCAGGTCCATGTAACAATGGGACAGAGGGAGGCAAGTCTGGGCTATGACATGCAAGGAAAGTGATAGGCTTGAGGACACGTGAAGGGGCTCGAGTGGGAGTTCATGGAGTCTGAAGAGTCAGGAGATTATACTGATGTCCAGCTTCTGCCCAGAAAATTAGAACATTATGGTGCAAGAGAGAAGAACTGAGGGCTCCTTAGGCATGGGGGTCACAGTCAAGGTGATGGGGAGGATGTGATGGGCCATGGGCATGCCAGAGTTGCCACCAGGTTCCCACCGGGAACTTAGTACTTGAGTATTAACTCAACAGCAATATCTTGAGAAGGTTTACACAATAGTAGAAAGATAAAAGTTAAAATAATCTGCGTGTGGTCGGGCATAGTGATTCACGCCTGTAATCCAAGCATTTTGGAGGCCAAGGTGGGCGGATCACCTGAGGTCAAGAGTTCAAGTCCAGCCTGACCAATATGGTGAAACCCTGTCTTTAAAAAAAGAAAAATAAAAATCCTGTGGGCACAGTGCCTCATGCCTATAATCCTAACAATTTGGGAGGCCAAGGTGGACTGATCACCTGAGGTCAGGAGTTTGAGACTAGCCTGGCCAACATGGTAAAACCTCATATCTACTAAAAATACAAAAATTAACCGGTGTCGTGTCATGTGCCTATAATCCCAGTTACTCGGAAGGCTGAGACAAGAGAATTGCTTGAACCCTGGAGGCAGAGGTTGCAGTGAGCCGAGATCCAGCCACTGCACTCCAGCCTGGGCAACAGAGCAAGTCTCTGTCTCAAAAAAAAAAAAAAGTTAAAATAACCTAAGCACCCTCTTTGACCTTGGGTCATGCCCCTCCAGTCTTTTTTCGGCGGCTGTATTCACAAACGTGTATTCGCATACATATCTTTTGTTTTTCTTTTACAAAATTGATGGTACCTACTATTTTGTGAAGCTTGCCTTTTTGCTTGATATTATATCACATATATGTTCCTGTTTTGGGTTATAGTTTTTGGTTGTGTAATTTTCCATTTTATACGTGTACCAAATTTTATCAATTCATTTATTGATTCATTAGTCAAATATGTACTGAGCACCTACTATATTCCAGGCCCTGTGCCCAGTGCTGAGGATTCAACAGTTGAACAAAGTCTCTGCCCTCCTGGAGCTGATGTTCTACGTTGAGTTAGAAAGTAAAAACCAATGGTTACATGCTAAGGTGTCAGTGCTACAAAGTAAACTATAAAGCAGAGTGTATAGGGAATGAGGAGGACTGGTATCAGAGTGACTAACCATCCTGGTTGGCCCAGGACTATAGCACTGAAACCCATCAGTCCCAGTCAAATCAGGATGACCCATCACCTGTAATCAGTACAAGCCCCTCCAAGAGGTGATGTTTAAGCAGAAACCTCTATGATGTTAGTGGAAAACGGCCATGCAGACACCTGGGGAAGAGCGTCATAGGCAGAGGGAAAAATAAGTGCAAGGGGCTGGAGGCCAGAGAGCGCTTTGTGTGTTTGAGGGGCAGCAAGAGAAAGCAGAGAGGCTGAGGGCAGTCAGGAAGGAGGGCAGTGGAGGCCAAGGAGGAGATGGAAACAGCAAGATAGCAGCCAAGTCATATGGATCTTGTAAACCTTGGTAGAGGCTTTGGATTTTAATTCCAGGTGTGATGGGAAGCCACTGGAGTTTTTGAGCAACTAAGGCACATGATCTGATTTACATTTTAAGACTCACCCCGGCTTTCCATGGAGAAAGATTGTTGTGGGTAAATGGAGTGGGCGGGTAAATGTCATGGGTAAAGGGAGTCAGTGGAGAAGCTGTTGCAATAATCCATGCGTGTGACGATGGGGCTCAGGCAGGGTGGCTGCAGCAATGATGGTGAGCAGCAGTGGTTTCTGGATAGATTTTGAATGGGATTTCATGACGAAGTGGAGGTAGAGTGCGGGTGCAAGGTTTCTAGAGTGAATCAAAGTTGCTGGCTTGAACTTTTGAGTATGTGGTAGGGCCATTATTGAGGCTGAAGACTGAGGGAAGAGCAGGGGCAGAGTGGAAGGAATGTGAATCAAGACCTATGTAAGTCCAGAGTTCAGGAGGGAATCAGAACTAGGCTGGGCATGGTGGCTCATGCCTGTAATCCCAGCACTTTGGGAGGCCAAGGCAGGCAGATCACTTGAAGTCAGGAGTTTGAGACCAGTCTGGCCAACATAGTGAAACCTCATCTCTACTTAAAAGAATTCAGAGATTTGCTAGACATGGTGGTGGGCGCCTGTAGTCCCAGCTACTCAGGAAGCTGAGGCAGGAGAATCACTTGAACCCAGAAGGCAGAGGTGGCAATGAGTTAAGATAGTGCCACTGCACTCCAGCCTGGGCGACAGAGCAAGACTCTCTCAAAAAAAAAAAAAAAAAAAGGAAAAGAAAGAGAATCAGAACTAGAGAGAGAGATTTGGGAACTGACAAGTATAATTGGTTAAACCATTAAAATGGTAGCAATCAACTAAGGAACAAGTACATCTAGAAGAGGCCCAAAGACTAAGCCCTGGGATAGGCCTGTGTTCAAGGATCAAAAGAGGAGGAAAATCCAGCACAAGAGATGAAGGAAGAGCAGTCAGTGAGCTAGAAGGAAAACCAAGAGTTCCTGAGCCAAATGGGGAACATGAGAGCATCAAATCCTTCAGAGAAGTTGAGTAAGATGAGGAGGAACTCATCACGGGCTTTGGCACATAGAGGTCACTGGTCCACGGTTTCATGGAAGTGTTGGGATGAGAGCCTGTTTGGAACAGGCTCAAAAGAGGACAGGAAGAGGAGTGGAGACAAGGAGTCCAGACAACTCTTTCAAGGAGTTTAACCAAAAAGGGGTACAAAGAAATGGGATAGTGTCTGGACACAGTGTATGGTCAAGAGAGGGAGCTCTTGTAGCCGGCAAGTGTTCTGAAGTGCCCTGTGCTGGGACACTTAGGTGTCACTGTCAGCACAATTATTTTGCTGTTATAAATAATGCTGCTGATTGAAGGCCACATAAGGATCTTGTTTCTGAAAAGAAATGTCCTTGCTCTGAGTATGTGTTTTGTCAACACGACATCCTGCTGCTCATGAATTGGTTCCACATTTCTGTTTTGTTCAAAGATGGAAGGCCTTGATATCGTGCACTCGGGTTTTCTCCAGTCAACACTTTCAGATCCTCTGCATTTCGGAGCCCACAGAGAACTCCTGAGGCCACTGGCCCCAGTTCCCTCCCTGACCAACTTTCTAGGCTCTAGTGCCATATGTCCCTCCCCTGTAGTATACTGTAGCCACACAGAAAGTTTGAGAAGGGCAGGGCCTATGGGCCCATCGACGCCTTCATTCCCCAGAACATCTGCCCACCCCTTGAGCTCCTAGGGAGAGGAAGGGACCCTGTGAGTACCTAATGACCGCCCCAGGCAGTGAGGCCTCCGTGAGCCATGGTACTCTCTGCAACGGTTTCTCACACAGTAGGAGAGCCACACAGGCCCACTGGGCCTGCCCTGAGGACTGGGCTGGAGCCCTTGAGGAGCCTGCAGGGAAAAGCCCAAAAGACTAGGTGCTCAGCAAAGACCAAGACAGGCCAGACTGAGCCAGACACCCAGGCTCCAGGTTCCTTCCTCTGAAACACATGCAGGTTTTTGGTAGGCAGAGGGCTCTCAGCTGCCATGGCTGACGTCTGTGGAAGCACCTTTTCAGTTCCAGATGGTCTACACAGGGATCATATACACAGGCCCCCTACATGTGTGTGTGCACGCACACACACAGAGCAAATTTGTTGATATACACCAATATGAACACAAACACACAATGACTTACCTATAAACACAAATTAATAGACGCCCATACTGGTCTGAACACACACCTTCAGACATCCACTGACATGTACTACACAGAGACACACTGAAACACATCCATATGCACACCAAACACATGATACACACAGTCACAGATGCACAGACACAGGCTGACATAAATGTACAAATATGGTCACACTGACACATACATGAGGTCATCTATGCAGACTCATACAGACACAAATGCCTGAAACACAGAGCCACAGACAGACACACACAAAAGCATTCTATGCACAAAACACTTGCACAGCACACACCCTGACCCACACAGTCTAACAAGCCCCAGGGGTCTCCAGGGCTCTCCTGGGTCTATTACCCACTCCTACCCCTCTCCCCTCCAGGGTGAGATGGTGTCCCCAGGGAAGAGAAGTCTCCAGTCCCATCTTAAGCTCTGCTGGATCCCACATGACATCAACCAGCCCCCTCGCTGCTGCTGCCGGGAGCTGTGAGCTCTGTGCTGGGGCGCGGCCGGCACCGGGCGCAGACACTTAGGCCCTTGTTGGGAGAACAGAGAGAGGCTCTCTTGTCCACTGCCTGTCTTCAGTTCCAGCTGCTGGTTCTCCTAAAGGCCTCTCCTCAGATTTACAGGTATGTGGGACCTGGGAGGCCAGGGCCTGTTAGAAGGGCCGTCAGAGTCAGCCTAGGAGAGGGAGTGGCAGTGTGGTGGGCCGTGTGGCATTGGCGAGGGGCAGCCTGCGCTTCCTTAGCCAGCAGTTCTGCAGCTTGCTCCAAGGGCTTGCTAGGGCTGGGCCTCTCAGAGCACCTGGGCTGGGGGAGCCTCTCAATTCAATTCCCCTTCACTTTCTCTGTTCCCACGAAGGCCATGAGGTTCGTGCCTCCAGGATCCCTCTTGTAAAGATGGGAAGTCTCTACTCAGAGAGGCTGGGCTGCAGCCCAGGCCCCATAGTGGGCTAGGACTAAGGTCTTGGGATGCACAGTGCTGGGAGATCTCTCAGGTGAGATCTCTGCTCTCAGTCTTTGCCAAGCAAGGATGAGGTTGTGGGGCCCCAAGCAATCTGTGCCAGGGCCTAGGCACCCTGGCCTCTTCTCCACTGCAGGGTGGAAGCAAGGAAGACACTACTCCTGGCTGCATAGATCAGCTGGTCACACCATCTGTTGTTTGCTCCAGGATAGATGCTAGCCAGTCTTGAGTCTCTCTGTAGCCCCAGCCCAAGGCTTCCAGGGCAGCTGCCATTCCTGAGGCATTGGGCAGAATTCCTTCTGGCAAGGAGGTAATAGCACAGAGCCCAGCTGGGAGTGCCCACAGTAATTCAGCATTGCCATTGTTCCTCTATGGGAGTCCGGAGAGCCCAGCCTGTGCTTCACAAACTGTGTAGCCTTAGGAAGGTCCTGTTTTAGGCCATAGGCCTTTCACCTGTGAAATGGGAGAAGGGTTCAGACTTCATGCCCTGAAAAGGTCCTTCCAGTGCTGGTCATCTTGGACTTCTGGAGCTACCCTGACTCACAGAGGTCTTATTGCCCTGGCTGACCCCGAATCTTGAAAAGACTCAGCCTGGGAGGGGCCACAGTCTTTAGCCTGGCAGAAGGGCCGTCAGAGTCAGCCTAGGAGAGGGAGTGGCAGTGTGGTGGGCCGTGTGGCATTGGCGAGGGGCCACAGTCTTCCTTAGCCAGCAGTTCTGCAGCTTGCTCCAAGGGCTTGCTAGGGCTGGGCCTCTCAGAGCACCTGGGCTGGGGGAGCCTCTCTGAGTAGAGACTCAGAAGTCTCCAGTCCCATCTTAAGCTCTGCTGGATTCCCTGACCATCCCCCTCTACCCACTCTGAGATGTTTGTTAGGAAGTCTGGGTCCAGGGATATCATGTCTTGTTCTGTCCACACAAGGGTTGCTTACCTCTGGGGTAGGAAACCCTCAGGCTGTGGCGGGTGCACAAGTAGTGGGGGCTGGAGAGGGTGCTGGTGCCTGAAGCCCTGGATGGGTGAAGCTGACCCCCCAACACCAGCTCTCTCATGTCTGTGCCTCCCTGTGCCCCCAGAGCAGCCTGATCATTGCTACAGAATGAACTCTAGCCCAGCTGGGACCCCCAGTCCACAGGTAAGTAGTTCTTGGTCCCCCACCCATCACTGGGGGCCCACTTCCTCCCGAGGCTAAGGAAATCCATGGAGACAGATAGCCCCATGGGCTGTCCCAGAGAATGTCAGGGCTGACAGGGTCACTTCGAGCACTTAGAAATGAGCCAGAGGAGAGATCTGAGCAAGGGCTTCGAGATAGAGTGGAAAAATTGTGGGATTTGTCATGAAGACACCTGGGTTCTATCCCAACTTGCTTGCCTGCGAGACCTTGGGTAACACCTCTCTGGGCTCAGTTTCCTCACCTACTCAATTCGCACAACAGCCAGCTGCCTCCCAAGGCTGTTTTGAGAAGTGAGTAAGACGGTGAATATGTGGATTAGTGGGCAGGTAGATAGGTAGAAAGAAGGAGGGAGGGAGGGAAGGAGGAATGAAGGGAAGGAAGGGAGGGAGGAGGGAAGGAAGGAGAAAAGAAGGAAAAAAGAAGGCAGGCAGGCCTAGAAGAGTTGGTAGAGGTGGCATCAGGGCCTGGGCCAGGAGAAAGGAAGGTGGCCAAGGACTAGGCCTGCTGATTGCAATCACTTCTTTCTGTAGCCCTCCAGGGCCAATGGGAACATCAACCTGGGGCCTTCGGCCAACCCAAAGTGAGTTCTGGTCCCTCAAACACCTTTCCTACTTGATTCCCCTCATACCTGGCTCCCCTTGCTTTGGGAATACAATCCAAATTCTCTGGTCTAGCATTCAAGCCTCTCTGCCGTCTGGGCCCAGGACCTCCCCCCAGCCTTATCTCCCACGAATCCCCAGCCTCTGCCCATGCTGAACCCTCTTCCTGCAATGTCCCCCAAATGTCTGCAGTGTTAGCAACTCCCCACACTGCAGGCCCTTCTTGGGGGCTTTGGCTCCAGATCCCCACCTCCTATGCAGGCCTTCTGTGCATTATGTCTGGTTTTATCTTCACCCTGCCTGTTTAACTTGCATTTGAGTTCCCCTGGGGCAAGAGTGAGTCTTACCAGCCCCCTCTTGGCTGGGAGAACATGAGGTTCTTGAGGGATGAGGAGGCATGTCTTCCGAAAGGCTTTCCCCACTCTAAAGTTCAAAAGAAGCCCAGGTTTGCTCTCAGGCACCAGGTTCCCAGAGCTTGCAAACGCTGTCCATGTTTTTTCCTTTCCCCCAGTGCCCGGCCCACGGACTTCGACTTCCTCAAAGTCATTGGCAAAGGGAACTACGGGAAAGTGAGTGACTTGGTGAGGGTGGGAAGCCTGGGTCTTCCCTTCGGCAGCCTCTTTCAGCCCCTGCTGCCACGTGGATGTGCAAAGAGAGAGCTCTCACACCTGCAGACAAAAGCAGGGGCAGGCAGGAGGCCCTGTACTGTTGTCGGAAATCCAAAGTCACCCATAGGGCCTCAGATTCGTGTTTCCGTTCAGGTCCTACTGGCCAAGCGCAAGTCCGATGGAACGTTCTATGCGGTGAAGGTGCTGCAGAAGAAGTCCATCTTAAAGAAGAAGGAGGTACTCAGGCACAGGCATTTCCTCTTCTGCTTCTCAAACCCCAGCCTAGGGTGGCTTTCAAAGATGGGTCCCACCTCTGACAGGTCCATGGGGCTGGATGCAGAGGTGGTCACAACACAGGGTAGAGGGGAGGTGGCACACAGGATGGTGGCCCTTCTCAAAGAAAGCAGGCCAAGCTACCTCACCATAGGGCTTTCAGGAAAACCAGCCTGGCTTTGGCTTCCCCTGGGAAATGCAGGCTCCACAATGGACAAGTCTTCTGCCTGCTCCTATGCCAGGCTCCTCATCTCTATAATGTGGAGTCCCACTTTATTCTCTCTGAAGGCCCTTCATGCCATCAGGCCATCTGGCTGGACTGCAGTAGTGCAATCACAGCTCACCGCTGCCTCAAACTCCTCCAGCCTTAGCCTCCCAAAGTGCTGGGATTAGAGCCATGAACTACTATGCACAGCACATCATGGATTTCTCTTTCTTTGTTGAGATGGAGTCTCGCTCTGTCACCCAGGCTGGAGTACAGTGGCACAAATCTCAGCTCACTGCAACCTCCACTTCCTGGGTTCAAGGGATCTCATGCCTCAGCCTCCTGAGTAGCTGAAATTAAAGGCACCTGCCACCACTCCCAGCTAATTTTTGTATCTTTAGTAGAGACAGGGTTTTGCCATGTTTGTCAGGCTGGTCTCAAACTCCTGGCCTCAAGAGATCTGCCAGCTTCAGTCTCCCAAAGTGCTGGGAATACAGGCATGAGCTACCATGCCCAGCCCCATCATGGATTTCTTGATGCCTCAGCTGATCTGAGTTCCTTTACCACCTGACTCCATTAGTGGGCCAGAGCAGGCCCAGAGAGAGGATTGCATAGGAGATCCAGGGACTCGGAAAGAGTGATTAATGTTAGCAAGGACTCTGTAGGGGGTGGGAATGGAAGATCTTCCTGGGGGAGGCAGCGGTGCAGCGGCCTTAATGGTGGGTTTCTGATGGCCTGAAAAGAGGGTGCAACATCCAGGAAGAGTAAATAGCACGAGCAAATGCATGAATATAGGTAGTGTATGGCTTCTTTCCCTTAGGGACTCATTTATGTAAGGCATCATACATGCTTTGCTTTTCACTCCAGGGGCAGAAACCATTGATCCAGAGGCTGGAGCTGCACCCACATGGATTAGCTTAGGATGAGCCTGACCACCCTGAGCCTTGAATCCTAAGCAAGGAACTTGGGCATGGCTCTGAGGGCCATAGGGAGCCACTGTAGGTGTTTGAGCAGGGGCAAGGGAAAGTCCTGGATAGGATGACCCCCCCCCCAGCAAGCTTATATGGGCTGTGCCAGGATAAAGGGGGCTGCTGTGGGCTGTGACATGGACCCTTGTCTTTGTGACTTCACAGCAGAGCCACATCATGGCAGAGCGCAGTGTGCTTCTGAAGAATGTACAGCACCCCTTCCTCGTGGGCCTGCGCTACTCCTTCCAGACACCTGAGAAGCTCTACTTTGTGCTCGACTATGTCAACGGGGGAGAGGTGGGTGGGCCCACTGGGAGGCTTCCCCAGGCTGGCTCTCGGTTGGGAGCTGTCCATCCCACATGTCCACTGCATGTCAAGTTCTGGAATGATCTCACCTTATCTTACATTAGACCCATTTTGAAGCTGAAGAAACTGAGGCTCAGGGAAATAATCATTTGCTTAAGGCCACCCAGCCCATACCTGGTGGAGTCAGGATTTGAATTCAGATCTGTTAGACTCCACACCATGATGCTTTCTTGCCTTGCTTGTTCAGAGTTGCCCACAGAATCGCACTTTAATAGACCCGGGAAAGGTCAATGCTAAGAGGAGCTCATGGTCTAGTGCTCCCATTTTACACCATAGGCCACAGGGTAGGACTGACTGGTCACTGTGGTAAACAGAGACCTGAGGCCACCTGGTGACCCAGAAGCACAACTGGGATAATTGGGGCTCCCTCCTGGGCTTCACTCTGTCTCTCTGGTCAAGATGGCAAAATGTAGTAGGGCTCCTCCACTCAGTGACCCCAGATTCAACCTGCATGACCTCATGCCTTTCAGAATGATGCCAAGAGGGGAGTTTTGTTTTTGTTATTGTTTTGAGATGGATTCTCACTATGTCGCCCAGGCTGGAGTGCAGTGGTGCAATCCCAGCTCACTGCAACCTCCACCTCCCAGGTTCAAGCGATTCTTCTGCTTCAGCCTCATGAGTAGCTGGGATTATAGGCATATGCCACCACACCCGGCTAATTTTTGTATTTTTAGTAGAGATGAGGTTTCACCACACTGGTCAGGCTGGTCTCAAACTCCTGACCTCATGATCCACCTGCCTCAGCCTCCCAAAGTGCTGGGATTACAGGCATAAGCCACCACGCCCAGGTTGTCCTGCATCCCTAAGTGAAGGGCTTTCCATGCCAGCGAAATAGTCCAAAAACATTGGCCCATGGGTGGATCTAACCTGGGCTCAGTCTGACAGCCGTATCATCTTATTGCCTGGATTAATGGAAAAGCATATTTTTGAACCACGCAGGTTCAAATGCCAGCTCTGCCAATTATAAACGACATGACCTCAAGCAAGTTACCTAACCATTCCAACCCCTCCCAGCTTCCTCTTACATGAAACTAGCATAACATTTGTACCTTGAAGGTTGTCATGAGGATAAATAAGAGATGTGAAAGGGCCTGACTTGGAGCCTGGAACAAGGAGGTGCTTAAGCAATGCTAACTCATCTCTTTTTTTGCTGACTCTGGACACCCGGGACTGCTGTCTGGGGCAGGGGCCAGCATACACTCTTTTGGTAGGAAGACACTGCAGTTCAGAAAGGGAGTGAGCTGGGCAGCTGCACAGGGTGGGGAGCATGTAGGCCCTAGCCCTGCAGCACCCACCCAGTAGCTCCTCTCACACTCCTCCTCCCCTCCAGCTTTTCTTCCACCTGCAGCGGGAGCGCCGGTTCCTGGAGCCCCGGGCCAGGTTCTACGCTGCAGAGGTGGCCAGCGCCATTGGCTACCTGCACTCTCTCAACATCATTTACAGGTGAGGCCTGCCTGTGGCTCAGAGCCAGGACCAGGCCCTTCTTGCTCCAACAGCTAGGGGTTGTGTGGACCCAAAATCCTGATGAAATCCTGGTCGGCTTAGTCATTTGTGTTGGGTGGAGTGGGAGTCTCTGCCTCTGAGGTCCAAGTGCCCAGCCTGCCTGGGCTTTCCCTCTGCATCTCTGGGAACCTCCATAAATAGTTCTCCTGCCAGGACCTCAAGTCTCCAACTCTCCTCACTAAACGGCTGAGACACCTCAAGACTCTTTTCTCTTATTTTCTGCAGAGACCTGAAACCAGAGAACATTCTCTTGGACTGCCAGGTTTGTGTGTGTGTGTGTAGGGACATGGTTGGACAGGTACACTATCTGACTGTGAGTCTGTGTGCATGGGTACGCGTGCATTGTACATGCATGCATATAGGTAGAGGAGGCATTTGCACATATGTGTGCATGTGTGTGCCCATGTACATGTACACACATGCATATGTGCACATGAGACTGTACATGTGTGTTTGTGTGTGCATGCATGTATACAAGGTCTGTAGTGGGCCGGGTGGAGCCAGGTAGAGGCTGGTTGATTTTGTCTTAGACTGGGTTCCATGGAAACAGACTGTGAGACGGAGAGGAGGCAGAAGCTTTATTGGGGAACACTCTCAAGAGACAGCACTTTTAAAGGGGTGGAAAAAAAACAGGATTGGGCAGAGGAAGCAGCTCACCTGCATTGTGGTTGCAGGTGGGGCCTCAGCTGATCTTGCAGGGGTGGGGAGGGCCTGAGCCGGGAAGCTTTCTAGGATTATCCCAAACTAAGGGAAAGAGGATGGGCTTGTGTCCCTGGACGTGGATTGCTCCTAGGGAGGAGGCATAACTTGGGTTCGGGCAATGTCCTAGCAGCAGGGGGATGGGCATAGGCATGGTTCTTCAGTACCCTGGTTTCAGAAGACGGGATCCGGGCAGAACCCCACAATATCTACTCACTGTACTTTCCTGCCCAGCTGCCACAAAGTGTGGTTGCTTTCTGAGTCCCCAGCCTCTGCCTAGGGGGTTTCTGTCCAGAAGGACATCCTGGAACTGCCACTGTTGTAGGGGTAGGTCTGAGTCTGTGATGAGCTATGGGCAGACAGTGGAATGCCATGTGCCCACCTGGCCCCCTGTGGTCCTCCTGGCATCCAGCCCAGGAGCTCTGGGTCAGAGTGGAGCCGCTGCTCTGGGGTATGGCATCTGGGCTTTGGGGTTAGGCTTGGCCATATCCTTGGCCCATAGCACCCTCCAGCCCAGGCCCTCCCTCATTCTCAGGGACACGTGGTGCTGACGGATTTTGGCCTCTGCAAGGAAGGCGTAGAACCTGAAGAGACCACATCCACGTTCTGTGGTACCCCAGAGGTAAGTGCAAGCATCCCAGGAGAGAGCAGGTCATGAATGGGTGAGGCCACAGCTCCTGATTAGAGCAAACAGTTTCCAGTGGAGGGGACTCCCTCCTTTGACCCGAGCACTTCTCCAGTTGGCTGTACACAGAACCTTGGTTTCCTCATCTGTGTAATGGGGGCACCAGTTCTAGGACTGCTGAGACCCAGCCAGCTAGCCGCTGGTGAAGCTCTATCACAGTGCCATCCCGTAGAAATAGAGATAGAAATGCAGGCCGGGCATGGTGGCTCACACCTGTATTCACAGCACTTTGGGAGGCTGAGGCAGGTGGATCACCTGAGGTCAGGAGTTCTAGACAAGCCCTGGTCAATATGGTGAAACCCCATCTCTACTAAAAATTAGCCAGGTGTGGTGGCATGCACCTGTAGTCCCAGCTACTTGGGAGGCCAAGGCAGGAGAATCGCTTGAACCCAGGAGGCAGAGATTGTAGTGAGCCAAGATTGCACCACTGCATTCCAGCCTGGGCAACAAGAGTGAAACTCCATCTCCAGAAAAAAAAAAAAAAGAAAGAAAGAAATAGAAATGCAGACCACATATACAATTTAAAGTTTTCCAGCAGCCACATTTAAAAAGTAAGAAAGTCACAAGTATAGTTAATTTTAATGATATATTTTATTTAACCCAATATATCCAATATTCTCATTTCAGCATACCATCAATATAAAAATGGTTGAAATATTTTATTCCTTTCTTTTCTAACTAAGTCTTGGAAATCTGGTGTGAGTTTTACACTTCTCCTTCTGGAGCAGCCACATTTTCGGTGTTCGATAGCCACGTGTGGCTAGTGGCTGCTGTATTGGACAGCACTCATCTGCAGGGTGAAGTCCACATGCAACAAGAGGGCCTGGCCTGCGAATTAAGATAGGTCCATGTCCCTCTTCCAGCTGCCAAGAGCCTGGAAGTTTACAATTTGCAGATCTCTGCAGTCATTCAGACATGTCTATGTCCTGCCAAGATCTCACTGCAGCCGTGGAGTTAAAACCTTTCTTTGAACTCCCACCAATCTTGGACCTTGGACCTTGGACCTGAAAGGGTCCCCAGTGGCTAGACAGATGTCACGGTGAGGGTTGGAGGGCTGAGGCTACAGACTGGGAGGCTCCTCCCCACCTGGCATGAGACAGAACCTCAGCTGCTCTCTTTTTCTCCACATGCTGGAAAAGCTGGATCTTAGATCTAATGGCCTCTTCACTTTGGCTCTAGCATGGCTGATGGTCAAATGACCTCTCTGAGCAGGAGTCATTGTCTGTTTGTGTATAGGGGGTGGTATTTGCTGGATAAAGACTGACAGCCCAGCCATCCCTTCCTTGGACATTGCTAGGGATGGGAGCAGGGGATATGGAATCCCAGCTCATGTAGGAGACATGTGACCCCAAAATATCACCTTTACCATGACTCAGCCACTGCTGTGGTGTTGGGGAGCACGGGCAGGAGTAGACGTGGTTGGTCTGTCCCATTGTTGGTGGGCCAGCACGTATGTTAGCATCTTAGAACAATGCCTAAGAGGGATTCTGCATCCTCATTTTTTTTTTTTTTTTTTTGAGATGGAGTTTCGCTGTTGTTACCCAGACTGGAGTGCGATGGCACGGTCTCGGCTCACTGCAACCTCTGCCTTCTGGGTTCAAGCAAATCTCCTGCCTCAGCCTCCCAAGTAGCTAGGACTACAGGCGTGCACCACCATGCCCAGCTAATTTTTGTATTTTTAGTAGAGTCGGGGTTTCACCTCGTTGACCAGGATGGTCTCAATCTCTTGACCTCGTGATCCACCCGCCTTGGCCTCCCAAAGTGCTGGGATTATAGGCGTGAGCCACCTAGCCCAGCCTGCATCCTCATTTTTTGGATAAGGAAACCAAGCTTTTGAGAGATTTAATGACCTGCCCGAGACCACACACCAACTAGGGCTCAGGTCTGTATGACTCTGCCCTTCCCTAGACCCACACAATCTCTCAGGGTGGCTTTTCCTGTTGCTGAGACCTTACCCCCAACTCAGTGGCAAGGACATCAGGCTAAGAAGTCAGTAAGCCTTTTTTTGTCTCTTTGCATGCAAGGCATAGAGGCATGGTGTGCATTCACTTATCAATATGAGCTTAGGGGTCCCTGCTCCTTCCTGACCCTCTCCTCTGACCCTAGGGTTTCCAGCACAAGGATACACCACATTTACTTATACTCACATTAGTCTCCACACTGCACCTTGAGAGCACTCCCAGGGCCTTCCATTCCCAGGACACGGATAGCCTGTTGAATGCCTTTGCATAAATAGAAAAAGGCATCCCCTCCAGGCAGACTAATTAGAAGAAGCACCCCTTGAAACAAAAATAAAGTTGCCAGATGATACCTCTGAACTAGGGCTGCAGCTTCCTGAATGGATCAGCCACAATGGCAGCCCCCTTTACTCCTTTGGCTGGTGCTTTTGCGTGGTATGCAGCATGTGTATTGCACAAGGCAGTCCTGGCTGACCTCTACTATGTCCCCAACACATGGCAAAGGGCCCTGCACAAAGCAGGCCTTTGGTGAATGGCGGATGAATGAATACATGCACAGCCACAGAGTATCTCAGCAGGGGCAGCTCCTGGTGATCTTCCTCCAAGTGCCTTATTTACAGATGGGGCAACTGAGGCTTAATGACTTATTTCAAATAAGTGTATTTCCTTCTCACAGTACTTGGCTCCTGAAGTGCTTCGGAAAGAGCCTTACGATCGGGCAGTGGACTGGTGGTGCTTGGGAGCAGTCCTCTACGAGATGCTCCATGGCCTGGTGAGTGGGGGTTAGCCATCTACAAGAGCCACCTGGATAGGAATGTGTCTGTGCCTCATGTGGTCTACACAAGCGCTGCCCAGGAACATGAGCAAGTCATCTCTTCATTCCAGATGAAAACAGTTAATGCCAAAGTGAATATGAGGATTTTTTTCCCCAATAATGTTAGTTTAGTCCATGGGCAGTGACTCACACCCATAATCCCAACACTTTGGGAGGCCAAGGCAGGAGGATCACTTGAGGTCAGAAATGTGAGACCAGCCTGGCTAACATGGTGAAACCCCATCTGTACTAAAAATACAAAAAAATAGCTAGGCATGGTGGCAGGCGCCTGTAATCCCATCTACTCAGGAAGCCGAGGCAGGAGAATCACTTGAACTTGGGAGGCAGAGGCTGCAGTGAACCAAGATTGTACCACTGCACTCCAGCCTGGGTGACAGAGTGAGACTCTGTCTCAAAAAAAAAAAAAAAAAAGGTAATTTAGCATTTTGTAGTTTACAACACACTATCTCACCTTGAGTGACTCAAAATAGCCTTTAGAGGCTGACACAGCAGGAAGTGGAGTTATTCATATTTTGCTGACAGAAAAATTGAGACCAAGAGAGATTACAGTCCCGATAGGTTGTGGAACCAACCCCCAAGCCCAGTCCTAGACTGCCTGCTTAGGTGGAGGCATGTGTAGATTTGCCCCAGGCCATGCTTTGCTTTGGAGTGGTTTCACCAACGTAGCTTATTCTCTAGAAAGGAACAGGCTCTGTGGAGTCCAGAAAAAGGAACAGCTGGAAGAGGAGTGGGAGGAAGAATAGTAAGAAAGAGAAGTAGACCCTGGATATGGTTTGGGGCCTGGCTTTCTCCCTAACTGTGCAGCATAATTGCTCTGAGCCTTGTTTTATTCTCTGAAAAATTATGGTTATGAGGCTGGGTTGAAATGATAAAGGTGAAAGTACAAACGTAACCAAGTGCAAAGTTGGTGCTCAAGCTAGATGAAAGATATAGGCCTCGCACTGGCGGGAAAAGACTTCTGGCCTTCCTAGCAACTCTCTCCATTGTGCTGGAAGCCTGGAGTCCTGTCTCTTTCCAATCTGCCGTGTGACCCATTGCACAAGACAGGGGTCATGCTGAATCCTCCCAGCCGCCCAGCTTGCTCCAAGTCTCCCCGAGCCCATGTCTACCTTTGCATGGGTGATCCTCCAGCTGCTCTCCCTCTCTCACCAGCCACCCTTCTACAGCCGAGATGTGTCCCAGATGTATGAGAACATTCTGCACCAGCCGCTAAAGATCCCTGGGGGCCGGACAGTGGCTGCCTGTGACCTCCTGCAAGGCCTTCTCCACAAGGACCAGAGGCAGCGGCTGGGCTCTAAAGGAGACATTGTAAGTGACCTGCCATGGGGCAGTGGCCCCATGGGGCTCGCAGCTTCCTGTAGAGTCAGCTCAGAAGCACATCAACATGCATCCTGCTGCCCTCTAAAACCAGCCGCTGCTCACTCGTTCACCTGGAAATTCACTACTGCTACTAGCGGACTACTTTCTCTAGTCTAGCTCTCTTAGTCAGTCAATATTTACTAAGCACCAACTATGTGCCAGTATTGAGCTAGGTGCTAGGGATTCAATAGGCTCAGTCTCTGCCCTTATTAAGCTTGGGGTGGGGGCCGAGTGCGGTGGTTCATGTCTGTAATCCCAGCACTTTGGGAGGCCAGAGCGGGTGGATCACATGAAGTCAGGAGTTCGAGACCAGCGCATGGTGAAACCCCGTCTCTACTAAAAATACAAAAAATTAGGTGGGTGTGGTGGTGGACGGACACCTGTAATCCCACCTACTCAGGAGGCTGAGGCAGGAGAATCACTTGAACCTGGGAGGTGGAGGTTGCAGTGAGCTGAGATCACGCCATTGCATTCCAGCCAGGGCAACAAGAGCAAAAATCCATCTCAAAAACAAAAACAAAAAAAGTTTGGAGTTGGGGGCAGGCAAAAAACACAAACATTATATACAATTATCACAATGTGTGACAAGTGTCAGGAAGAAAATGAACAATGAGCTGAGATAGACAATAATGGAAGGGGGGCAAATTCACATTGGCATGGTCAGGGAGTTCTCTCTGAGGAGGTGACAGTGAAGCTGAGGCTTCAAGGATGAGAAAGAGGCAGCTATGAAGACAGCTGGGGAAGGCTCCCCAGACACAGGGCACATTTGTCCAAGGCTACACAGTCAGTTAGAGGCAGAACTTGTCCTGACTGCAGGTTCAATCCTGAGTTTGCTTTCTTTTCTAGCATAGTGATTAAGATAAATGGAGTAGGCCAGGTGTGGTGGCTCACGCCTATAATCCCAGCACTTTGGGAGGCCAAGGCGGGCAGATCACCTGAGGTCAGGAGTTGGAGACCAGCCTGGCCAACATGGCGAAACCTGGTCTTTATTAAAGTACAAAAATTAGCCAGGCATGGTGGTGGGCACTGTAATCCCAGCTACTCAGGAGGCTGAGACACGAGAATTGCTTGAACCCGTGGGTGGGTGGAGGTTGCAGTGAGTTGAGATGGGCGCCACTGCACTCCAGCTTTGGCAACAGAGTGAGACTCTATCTCAAAAAAAGAAAAAAAAAGATGAAGGGACTGTGAGGCAGACTCCCCTGGTTCAGATCCCCACTTCACCACTTACTAGTTACAGGACCTTGGACATACTGCTTAATTTCTCTCTGCGAGCCTCAGTTTCTCCAGTGTAATAACAGCACCTAACATAGCTGTTTTGAAGATCAAATGGATTAGTATTAATGTATCAAAGCACTCTCACATCAGTGTCTGGCACAGTAAGTGCTTCTTAAGTGTTTGTGCCAAAAGCTTTACATTCCAGGCTGGGTGCGGTGGCTCACGCCTATAATCCCAGCACTTTGGGAGGCCGAGGTGGGTGGATCACGAGGTCAAGAGATCGAGACCATCCTAGTCAACATGGTGAAACCCCGTCTCTCCTAAAAATACAAAAATTAGCTGGGCATGGTGGTGCGCGCCTGTAATCCCAGCTACTCGGGAGGCTGAGGCAGGAGAATTGCTTGAACCCAGGAGGCAGAGGTTGCGGTGAGCCGAGATCATGCCATTGCACTCCAGTCTGGGTAACAATAGTGAAACTCCATCTCAAAAAAAAAAATATGTATAACTCTTAAAATAAGTTATACATTTATATAGATCAAAATTCAAAGGGTACAAAAGAGTATCCAGAAAAAGTCCTTCCAGCCACCCAGTTGCTCAATTCAGAGGCAATCAGTGTTGTCTATTGCTTGGGTATTCTTCTGGAGGCTTTTTTTTGTTTTGAGACACAGTCTTCTTCTGTCACCCAGGCTGGAGTGCAGTGGTGTGATCTCGGCTCACAGCAACATCCACCTCCCAGTTCAAGCGATTCTCCTGCCTTAGCCTCCCAAGTAGCTAGGATTATAGGCACACACCACCACGCCTAGCTAATTTTTCTATTTGTAGAGACAGAGTTTCACCATGTTGGCCAGGTTGGTCTTGAACTCCTGACCTCAGGTTATCCACCCACTTTGGCCTCCCAAAGTGCTGGGATTACAGGTGAGAACAACTGCACCCAGCCTCTTTTGGAGATATTTTGGATCTGGGTTGTTAACCAACCCACTGGGCTTTCTGATATAGGGAGGTAGAGAATAATTATTTGAGAAACACAGATAGAGGATGCGATAGAAAGAAGTTGGTGTCAGTGTTGATTTTGATTAGGAAAGGTGGTGAATCATGACCAGGGCTGAGTCCTAAAGTCTGGGTGTCTGAGAATCTGAAGGTTTCTTGGGGGTTTTATTTTTTAAACCTTCCCTAGTGAGTTGATTTAGTCTATTTCTCTGGTTTGCATATTGGACAACTCAAGATGTACACAGAGCAGAAGCGGAGGGGTCCCTAAGCTCCTGCTGGCACCCCCACCCTCACCCCCACAGCAGATTCTGCTATCTTATTCACTGACATGTCCCCAAAGCCTAGCAAGGCGTAAGTTCTCAGAGAAGGTGCTCAGTCAATAGTTTTGGAAGAAACATGCTGTAGTGGGGACAAGGGTTTGGAATCTGAATGAAGGGAGAGGCTTGGCTGCAAAACACTCTCTTGTCGCAGGAAACCAGCCAGAACTGCAAGTTAATTTCCAGTTGACAGCCAGTTGCTGGTGGAGCTCTGGAGGATGTGGGGGTGAGGGGAGAGCACCCATGGGGAGCGCTGCTTCTAACCAGCACCTTCTTTCTGCACTTCCTGCAGCTTGAGATTAAGAACCATGTATTCTTCAGTCCCATAAACTGGGACGACCTGTACCACAAGAGGCTAACTCCACCCTTCAACCCAAATGTGGTAAGAGGTCACAGCATTCTAGACTCTGGATTTCCAGGCTGGGGTAGCTTGCTGTGTGTGCCAACTCTCCTCATCTAGCTGGGAAAACTGGGGATCCAGGAAGCTCAGTCATTTGCCCAAGGCTACACAGTCAGAGGCAGAACTTGTCCTGACTGCAGGTTCAGCTTTTGGATAAAGGGCCATGTTGCTGCTCCTTTATCTTTAACACCAATAAATAACCCTCGCTGCAGAGCCTTTTACAATTTGTGAAGCGCTCTGTGTCATGGAGAACACCCACATAGGGACAAGCCCTTTAGAGACATTTTATCTTTTCCTATTTGTAGACTTTTTCCCGGTAATAAAAATGACATATATTCTTATAGAAAGTATGTAAAACACTGGCCAGGCGCGGTGGCACACAACTGTAATCTCAGTAATTTGGAAGGCCAAGGCCAGCGGATCACTTGATATCAGGAGTTCAAGACCAGTGTAGCCACCATGGTGAAATCCCATCTTTACTAAAAATACAAAAATTAGCCAGGCGCCGTGGCGCACACCTGTAATCCCAGCTACTCAGGAGGCTGAGGCAGGAGAATCACTTGAACCCGGGAGGTGAGGGTCACAGTGAGCCAAGATTGTGCCATTGCGCTCCAGCCTGGGCAACAGAAAGAAATTTTGTCTCAAAAAAAGAAAAAGCAAATAAAAAATAATATGTAAAACAGAAAAGTTTAAAGTAGCAGTGGGGAAATGCTTATTATCCCACTACTTAAGGAAAACCAATGGCATATTTCCTTCCAGTCACTTTTCTGTGTGTGTATGTGTGTGTGTGTGTGTGTGTGTGTGTATGTGTTTATCTACCTATTCATCTATCTATATATCTTCCTCCTGGTTTTTTTGTTGTTGTTGTTGTTTTTGGCTAAAAACTATGTTATAATTTCCTCATGTCCCAAAAAATTTTATAAATATAATTTTTTAAAATATAAAGACGGGGTTTCACCATATTGATCAGGCTGGTCTTGAACTCCTGACCTCAGGTGATCTGCCCACCTTGGCCTCCAAAGTGCTTGGATTACAGGCATGAGCCACCACGCCTGGCCATAAATATAATTTTTAGTGGCTGAATAATATTTCAATCTTATGTTGGTGGCATCGTTTACTCACCCATAATGGCAATCATATGGTTGTTACTGTTTTTTCTTTATCATGATGTGCTGAGGAACAGCTTTAAGTATATGTCTTAGCCCAGAATTCTGGTCATTTCCTTAAGATGGATTCCAGATGGGGAATTGTCAATGCTAACATTTTTGGATTTTTTTTTTTTTTTGAGACAGAGTCTTTCTCTGCCTCTCAGGTTGAAGTATAGTGGAGCAATCTCACATCAGGCAATTCTCATGTCTCAGCCTCCTGAGTAGCATAGCATGTGCCACCATGCCTGGCTAATTTTTGCATTTTTAGTAGAAACGGAGTTTCACCATTTTGACCAGGCTGGTCTTGAACCCCTGGTCCCAAGTGATGTACCCACCTCAGCCTCCCAAGTGCTGGGATTACAGGCATCAGCCACCGAGCCCAGCCATTTTTAGGTTCTTTTTTTTTTATTAATTAATTTACTTTTTAGAGACGGGGTTTCACCATGGTTTCGATCTCTTGACCTCGTGATCCTCCCGCCTCAGCCTCCCAAAGAGCTGGGATTACAGGCGTGAGCCACCGCACCCAGCCCATTTTTAGGTTCTTGATTCGTACTGCCTGTTGACTGTGTGGAAAGGAGAACCATCTACTTCCTACCAGCGGCACCTGCTGGAGAGTTCTCATCTTATACTCGCACTCTGAGCATGTGTTGTTACTGTTTTTTTCTTTGCAAATTTGGTAAGTATAAAAAACAGCATCTCTTGTTTTAATTTATATTTGTTTTATAGTAAAGACGGTTAGTTTTATAAATTTATTTTTTGAGACAATCTCACTCTATCACCCAGGCGATAGTGCACTGGCATGATCTCAGCTTACTGCAACCTCCACCTCCTGGGCTCAAGCCATCCTCCTACTTCAGCCTCCTGAGTAGCTGGGAGGTGGGTGCCACCATACCTACCTAATTTTTATTTTTTGTAGAGATGAGGTTTTATTTATGTAACCTAGGCTGGTTTTGAACTCCTGGGCTCAAGTGATCCATCCCCCAGATTCCCAAAGTGCTGAGATAACAGGTGTTATTCACAGCACCTAGCCAGTTTTTATTTTCGTTTTTGTTTTTATTTTATTTGAGATGGAGTCTCACTCTGTTGCCCAGACTGGAGTGCAGTGACTCAATCTCGGCTCACGGCAACCTCTGTCTCCCTGGTTCAAGCAGTTCTCCTGCCTCAGCCTCCCAAGTAGCTGGGACTACAGGCATGCGTCACTACACCCAGCTAATTTTTGTATTTTTAGTAGAGATAGGGTTTCGCCATGTTGGCCAGGCTGGTCTTGAACTCCTGACCTCAAATCATCCACGCACCTCAGCCTCCCAAAGTGCTGGGATTATAGGCATGAGCCACTGAGCCTGGCTTTTTTATTTTTTTTGAGATGGAATCTTGCTCTGTTGCCCAGGCTGGAGTGCAGTGGCACGATCTTAGCTCACAGCAACCTCTGCCTCTCCAGGTTCAAGCAATTCTCATGCCCCAGCCTCCTGAGTAGCTACAGGTGCTCAGCACCACACTTGGTTAATTTTTTATTGTATTTTCAATAGAGATGGGGTTTCACTATGTTGGCTAGGCTAGTCTGGACTCCTGACCTCAAGTGATCTGTCTGCCTCAGTCTCCCAAAGTGTTAGTTTTACAATGTTAATTAGCAGTGGCAGTATGAATGAAAGGAGTCCTATTTGAGGTAGACATGTGAGATTGTGTTGTCAACCTGTAAAGTGAGGTGTCAAGCCTCTTTGATCGAAACACCCTGCATACCAAACACTGCCAATGTTTTTTTTGTTTTGTTTTGTTTTTTGAGACGGAGTTTCACTCTTGTTACCCAGGCTGGAGTGCAATGGCGCGATCTCGGCTCACCGCAACCTCCGCCTCCTGGCTTCAGGCAATTCTCCTGCTTCAGCCTCCTGAGTAGCTGGGATTACAGGAACGAGCCACCATGCCCAGCTAATTTTTTGTATTTTTAGTAGAGATGGGGTTTCACCATGTTGACCAGGATGGTCTCGATCTCTTGACCTCGTGATCCACCCGCCTCGGCCTCCCAAAGTGCTGGGATTACAGGCATGAGCCACCGCGCCCGGCCAACACTGCCAATGTTAATTCACCATCTACGTTTCTTCTTTGGTGAATTACCTATTCATGAACGTGTCTTTGAGCACTGGATCAGATAGGATACACTCAGGTCAGGCACCAGAAAAGCTTCTTTTTCTTGGGATTTTAAAAAGACAGTAAAGATAATGTCAAATGTACACTCTTGAGAGAGAACCAGACATGGAATACTAGGCAGAGACGCATAGACTTTAGAATGAGACACTCTGGAGCTGTAGTCCTGATTCTGTCACTTAACACTTGTGAGGTCTTGAGTAAGTTGCTTTAGTATCATTTTCTTCTAAGGTCAGGATGCACATTCTGGTCTTGGAACTCTGAGTGCTGGGCTGGGACTGCCTTGTCTCATAGCCTTATTTACACCGACCAAGTGTATCCTATCTGATCCAGTGCTCAAATCTGCACACTAAAGCAGATTTACAAGCCCTTCCCCTTCCTTACCTGCTTACTTCATAAAACCCAGGCCTCCTCCACAGAGAGACTATATTGGTTAGCTTTTGCTGCGTAACAAGCCACTTCAAAGCTTGGTGGCTTAAAGCAACGATCTTTTGGCCAGAGATGGTGGCTCATACCTGTAACCGCAGCACTTTAGGAAGCCGAGGCATTAGCATCTCTTGAGGCCAGGAGTTCAAGATCAGCCTGGGCAACATGACGAGACTCCATCTTTACAGAAAAATAGAAAATTAGCCCGGTGTGGTACTGCATGCCTGTAGTTCCAGCTACTCAGGAGGCTGAAGTGGGAGGATCACTTGAGTCTGGAATGTCAAAGCCGTAGTGAGCTATGATCATGCCAGTGCACTCCAGCCTGGGTCCACTTCCCAGGTTCAAGGCTCCAGCCTTGTCTCTTAACAAAAATTTTGTTCAGATTCTATGTGGCTTTTAAAGTCTGAGCCAGGCCAGCTGGTCTCTGGAGCTCGCTCATATCTGTGATCAGCTGGCAGGACTGCTGGCAGTTGTTGATTGCCTCACTCACATGCCTGAGTTGGCAGGCAGGCAGCCAGGGCAACGGAGCTCTTCATGAAGACTCTCACGCTCCAGCAGGCTAGTCTGGGGCTGTTCACACGGTGGCTTCAGGGCTAGACGTACAGCCAGAGAGCAACTCCTGATGTGCGTTTTTCAACCCTCTGCTTGTGTCATATTTGGTAATGTCCTGTTGGCCTAACCAAGTCATATGGCTAACTTATATTAAAGGAATGGAGAAATAGACTCCACCTCTGGATGGGAAATGGAGAATTTGTGATCATTTTTGTGATCCCCCTCACGGGTCTTCCTCCAAAATAGCCAAAGCAGCCTCCGTTAATCTCTACCATATTACCCTATTTTATCTTCTTCATAGGACCTATAACCATCCTGTTTGTAAACATGCTTATTACCAATCCTCCTACTCCCCTACACAATGCAAGCTCCATGAACACAGGGGCTCACTTTGTCTTGTTCTCCTGTGTTCTCAGTGCCATAAACAGTGCCTGGTAGGCATTTACTAAGTGTATGTTGATTAACTGATTTATCTAAGGATTGGTGTGGACGCAGAATGCCAGGGGGTGAGAGGAATCAAATGATTAATGTAAATGCACAGGAAAGTGACAGTGAAGTATGGATGACTATGAAGCTTGAGGCACTCAGAGAGGCCTGACACCCCTCTTGGAGGATTTGGGCTCCTTTGGCAACTCTGACTCCAGTGTTGTCTTCTCATCGTTGGCTTTTATTGACAGGCAGGACCTGCTGACTTGAAGCATTTTGACCCAGAGTTCACCCAGGAAGCTGTGTCCAAGTCCATTGGCTGTACCCCTGACACTGTGGCCAGCAGCTCTGGGGCCTCAAGTGCATTCCTGGGATTTTCTTATGCACCAGAGGAGGATGACGTCTTGGATTGCTAGAAGAGAAGCACCTGTGAAACTACTGAGGCCGGCTGCTATTAGTAAGGAATTACCTTCAGCTGCTAGGAAGAGCCACTCAAAGTAACAACGGCTTGAATGAGAAGCAGGTTTATTTTTTCCACCACATAAAAGAAAAATAATGTTATGGGGTCCAGGGCTGGTAGGACAGATCATCAGATTCTCAGAGGCTGTATTTCTGCTCTGCCATCCTTAACAAATGATTTCCAATATTAGGTTTGCTACAATATGGTTATTGGAGCTCTAGCTACCAATTTTGTGTTTGAGGAAGAGAAAACAGAAGAAAGGGGAGAAGAGCAAATGGGCACTTTTTTTTGAGACGGAGTCTTGCTCTGTCACCAGGCTGGAGTGCAGTGGCGTGATCTCAGCTCACTGCAATGTCCACCTCCCAGGTTCAAGTGATTCTCCTGCCTCAGCCTCCCGAGTAGCTGGGACTGCAGGCGTGCGCCACCATGCCCAGCTAATTTTTGTATTTTTAGTAGAAACAGGGTTTCACTATGTTGGCTGGGATGGTCTCGGTTCCTTGACCTTGTGATCCACTCGCCTCGGCCTCCCAAAGTGCTGGGATTACAGGCATGAGCCACCACGCCCAGCCAAAAGGGCACTTTTAAATTGCTTTCCCCAAAAGCCCTACCCAATGACTTCTGCTTCCATCTCAGCAACCACCCTTCCCTACCTGGAACGGAGGCTGGGAGATGTGGCTTATTTGCTGGATATGTGTCTACCCCTAATAACAAAGGGGTTCTGACACTAAGGGAGAAGGGGAGAATGTTGGGTAGGCAGCCAGCACTCTTCATCAGAGGGCCTCTTGGTGTTTGGATTTTGATCTCAATGTGTAAAATGACAGAGCTGTCACAAGCTCATAGGCTGTCAATATATCTTATTGTTCTATGTCGATTATGTTTGTCTTTGTTGTGGGTAGTATTGGACAATCGTTATTGGGTCTGGCTGCCTGGTATCTGAATCCCTTCCTGTCTCCAGGGAATCCCCTATTTTATGAGACTTCATGAGGGGTAATAACTACCTTTATTTAGAGTAGCTGAAAATGCTAGACACTGACTTTCCCAGCCTCCCCTTAGCTAGGGTCAGGTATGGGGACCAGGGATGCACCTGTGCCAACCTTTGACTCAGGGAAGGGATCGGAAGTGCCCTTTTGTGTCGTAACTGGCAACAGTACCTGCAAAATTGAGTTCCTGTTATAGAAGTGGCAAGGATGCAAATTGTAGCAGTTGGTGCTCAGTGGCAGCAACACCGTCAGACCAGCCCAGCAATGTCATTCCTGGAAGCCTCAAGTCTTTTTTTTTTTTTTTTTTTTTGGAGATGGGGTTTCACTCTTTTTGCCCAGGCTGGAGTACAATGGTGTGATCTCGGCTCACTGCAACCTTTACCTCCTGGGTTCAAGCAATTCTGTCTCAGCCTCCCGAGTAGGTGGAACTACAGGTGTGTGCCACCACATCCGGCTAATTTTTCATATCCTTAGTAGAGACAGGGTTTCACTACTTTAGTCAGGCTGTTCTCCAACTCCTGACCTCAAGTGATCTTCCTGCCTCAGACTCCCAAAGTGTTGGGATTACAGGCGTGAGCCACCATGCCCAGACAAGGCTCAAGTCTTGTAGCTTTCCAAATAATCTGAGAACTTCTGATCCTTTTTAACACACTCCTTTTTTGCTCAATTGGCCAAAGTTAACTTTAGATCACCTGCCTGTGCTGGGCTAGTTGCTGTGCTAGACTCTTTCATGTCTGTTACGAATTTTCCATCCAAACAACCCTGGGGTAGGAATTAATACTATCCTCTTTTTACCAATAACAATACAGAGTCAGAGAAGTTGTTCCTTGCCTGATGGTCATATAGCTAATAAGGGCCAGAGCTGGAACTTGGAGCCCTGCAAGCTGGCTCTAGGGCTCTCATACTGAACTTTTGTGCTGGTCTGCTCCTCACTCTGGCTGTTAGGTCCAAGCAGAATAACTGCCAAAATCTCTAGTAAGGAGCTAAGTCAAAAGTTGGCTGGAATAAGCCAAACATGAGAAATGAAGTCTTGAAGAGGAGACATTCAACGGGATGTCACTCCTGGTCTAAGCCTGGCTGTCAGGTTCATGCTGTGTTCCACCTCACATGGGGGAGCTCAGAGCTGGACAAAGCTGGAGGCTGCTGCAGACTTGATGCCTAGAGCTTCCTGGCCACCATGGAGCGCAATATGTTCAGATTAGTTATTTCTAAAGGTAATTCTGATCAGACAGAACATGAGTTCTGACACCTCATAAATTCAGGATACCCTGCACTTAGGGATGGACTGTGCTTCCTTACTTCAGCGGAAAAGTGGTTTATTTTTTACAAATGTATGGTTCATACTCCTGGATGGCCTTATTGGCTTTTTGGTTAGGAGACAAGGGAAGGAACTTTCTTGGATTAGTATATGCTGGTGATTTTATTGTCTTTTCCTCTTAATTCAATCCCACTCTTTCCCTTCCTCAAGTCCTGTCGCCCACCCAGTCCCCTGCCCCAGGAATCATGGAGGACAAGTCCGGGAGGCCGTGGAAAAAGCACCAATGACACTGACCTATTAGAGATCAAAACTGGGTCAGGAAGAGCTCATGTTAAGCTTCCACATGTGCTAAGAACTCTGACAGAAACACACTGATTTCCATCTTAATAGGGCCAGTTAATTGGCAAATGTGGAACAAGATGAGGGAGAGGTCAAAATCCCAACTTCCCAAAGCAAAAAACAAGAGTATAATGATCAGAAACATGATAGTAGTGTCAGAAGTACACAATCAGCTATGGATGGTGAAACACATAATGGTTCTATCTTTTCTGAGATTGTAAAAGCACAATTGTCTTAATCAGGATAAAAAATAAAAATGAAGAAAAACTATGCTGTTGAATGGATCATGCTAAAACCTGTTTATTGAGCAAATTCCAAGTTTTATATTCATGATCTACAATCCTCACTACAAGCCAGCACTTAGAAATTATTAACTTTGGGCCAGAGCGGTGGATCACACCTGTAATCCCAGCACTTTGGGAGGCCAAGGTGGGCGGATCAAGAGGTCAAGAGTTTGAGACCAGTCTGGCCAACATGGTGAAACCCTGTCTCTACTAATAATACAAAAATTAGCTGGGCCTGATGGTGGGAACCTGTAATCCCAGCTACTTGGGAGGCAGAGGCAGGAGAATTGCTTGAACCCAGAAGGCAGAGATTGCAGTCAGTGGAGATCGGGCCACTGCACTCCAGCCTGGGCGACAGAGCAAGACTCTGTCTCAAAAAAAAAAAAAGAAATTATTAACTTCACTTTACAGACAGGGAACAATTGCTCAGAGACTATAAAAATTGTCCAAGGTCACCCAGCTGGTACAAGTCACAGCAATGAATTGAACTCGGTGACAACTGATTCTGAAACTCTTACTTTTTTGGGGGCGGTGGGGGGGGTGGGGGCCGGACAGAGTTATGCTCTTGTTACCCAGGCTGGAGTACAATGGCGCCATCTCGGCTCACTGCAACCTCTGCCTCCTGGCTTCAAGCAATTCTCCTGCCTTTGTCTCCCAAGCAGCTGGGATTACAGGCACCTGACATTACACCCAGCTTTTTTTTTTTTTTAGTAGAGATGGGGTTTCACCATGTTGGTCAGGCTGGTTTCAGACTCCTGACTTCAAGTGATCCACACGCCTCGGCCTCCAAAAGTGCTGGGATTACAGGCATGATCCACTGCGCCTGGCCAAAACTCATACTCTTTCTACAATCTCTAACAGCAGGAGAAATGCTCTGGGCAGGTGCTCTAGCAAACACTGACTGCACATCAGGCAGAAGGATCCCAAGATTTGTTTCAGCCTTCAAATGGGACAGCCTACACTCTCTCTCCAGTGAAAAGACTTCATTTCCATTGTTACCCTAAATCCAAACTGTATTCACCCAATTTTGCACCAGAATACAGAATCTCCAAGTCTCTCTCTCTCTGTGTGTGTGTTTATGTGTGTTTAAAGAGACAGGGTCTCACTCTGTTGCCCAGGCTGGGGTGCAGTGGAGTGATCATGGCTCACTGCAAACTCCTGGGCTCCAGCAATCTTCCTACCTCAGCCTCCCAAGCAGCTAAGACTACAGGTGTGTGCCATCATGCCTGGCTAATTTTCTTATCATTACCATTACTATTGTAGAGAAAAGGTCTCACTATGTTACTCAGGCTGGTCTCAAATTCCTGGTCTCAAGCAGCCCTCCCACCTCAGCCTCCCAAAATGCTGGGAGTACGGGCATGAGCCACTTCATCCGACCAAAGAGAATTCTCAAATCATCTTCTTCTCCATTTTCTTTATCTTTTCTTTGAGACAAGATCTTACTATGTTGCCTAGGCTAGAAGAGTTCAGTGGCACGCTGACGGCTCACTGCAGCCTTGACCTCCTGGTCAATCAATCCTTCCGCTTCAGCCTCTCAAGCAGCTGGGACTACAGGTGGGCACCACCATGCCCAGCTAATTTTTTGTATTTTTAGTAGAGACAGCGTTTCGCCATGTTGCCAGGCTGGTCTTGAACACCTAGGCTTATGAGAGCCACCTGCCTCGGCCTCCCAAAGTGCTGGGATTATAGGAGAGTGCCACTGCGCCTGGCTTGTCTCCACTTTTAAAATTTGCAGTGACAGAAATTGTGGAAAGCAAGACAAATTGTGTGTGTTTTAATATTCTAAACTCGAAGACAAACATAAACGTAAATAAAAACTGTCGAGGCCGGGCGCGGTGGCTCATGCCTGTAATCCCAGCACTTTGGGAGGCCGAGGCAGGCGGATCACAAGGTCAGTAGTTTGAGACCAGCCTGCTCAACATAGTGAAACCCCATCTCTATTAAAAATACAAAAATTAGCCGGGTGTGGTGGCAGGCGCCTGTAGTCCCAGCCACTCAGGAGGCTGAGACGGGAGAATAGCTTGAACCCGGGAGGCAGATTGCAGTGAGCCAAGACCATGCCATTGCACTCCAGCCTGGGTGACAGAGACTCCATCTCAAAAAACAAAACAAAACAAAAACTGTCAGAGCCGTCTGCACTCATCAGTTTGAGTCTTCCAGATTGCTGCAGCGTTGTTCACACATCCACACACCTCTCAAGGCAGGCACAGAGCGCTTTCCTGGGGAACCGGGAGGCCTATTGGTGGTTGTAGGCTTCTGGTTCCCACCTTAATGGTGATGACAGGGCAACTTGTATTGGTGATGCTCTTTGCAGAAGTAGTTCTTTCTGCCCGGAACGCCCTTCCCCAGCCCTTGCCTTAATGAATGCCACTCTTTCTTCAGATAATCTTCTCAAGGGGGGCGCTTTTTTGACCAGCTTAGCCGTCAGACTCCCTAATACAGTTAATAGTTTTCACAATTTTGTAGAATCTGTTCAAGTTCTAACTCCCCACCCAAGGGGCGGCGGGCTTATAGCCATCCGCGCTGGCGCTCAGGTCTGGTAACATGGCAAGCGAAGATACGGGGTTAATAAAATAGAATTATCCGGTGCTATTAGTCTCAACACTAATCCTGCCCACCCTTTTCTGGTAAGTAGTTCCTAATAGTCCGGCCCCGCCCTCGCCCGACTCCGCCCTATGCCTGGGACTTGGGAATCGTCGGGGGGCGTCCTCCAACCGCTCCCGGAAGTCTTCACTATTCTCCTACCTGCGGGTGGAGCAGAGTTTGTGCCCTTGGGTCCTACTGTTGTTATTAGTCTTTAGTCAAAATTGGTATTAAAGAACAAAATTCAGTGGGTTGATTTTTGGTGAAAAGTTAATTCTCTGGAGGGAGGGGGTTGGAAAAAAAAGTTAATTCTCGTTGTGTTTGGATTTACCCCTCATGCACCAAATGGCACAGTCCCACATCAGCCAGGCTCCCTCCAACACCCACGGCGCCCGCGACGGAAAGGCGCCTCCCGTGCTGTCGTC